TTTCTGCTTTTAGGAAACAAAATGCTAGTTTTTTTTTTATATTGTTTGCTTCTTTTTTTTTTTTTTTTTTTTTTCTTTTTTTTTTATTTTATTTTTTTATTTTTTAAATAAGTTTTTATTGTTCATATTATTACAAATGTTCCTCCCCCCCCCCCCCCCGCCCCACCATTGCTCTCCTCCACCAGGTTCCCACCCCACCCTCTGCCCTTTCCCCACTCCCCATTGTCCTCATCCATAGGTGCACAGTTTATGTTCAGTCTCTTCCCACGCCCCCCTCTCCTCTTTTCCCCAAGAATCGTCAGTTCACTCCCCTTCCATACCTCTGATTCTATTATATTCAACAGTTACTATTGTTCGTCAGATTTTTTTTTTAATTTCCTTGGTTTTTAGATTCACTTGTTGATAGTTACGTATTTGTTGTTCATAATTTTTATCTTTGTTTACTTTCTCTTCTGAAAGAACTCCCTTCAGCAACTCATATAAGTCTGGTTTGGTGTTGATGAACTCCTTTAGCTGTTTTTTATTAGTGAAGCTCTTTATCTGACCTTCGATTCTGAGTGATAGCTTTGCTGGATAGATTATCTTTGGCTGTAGGTTCTTACTATTCATCACCTTGAATATTTCTTGCCATTCCCGTCTGGCCTGCATGGTTTCTGTTGAGAAGTCAGCTGATAATCGTATAGGTGATCCTTTATAGGTAACTACCTTCTTTGCTCTTGCTTCTTTTAATATTCTCTCTTTGTCTTTTGCTCTTGGAATTTTAATTATGATTTGTCTTGGTGTGGTCTTCTTTGGATTCCTTTTGTTTGGAGTTCTGTGCGCTTCCTGGACTTGTAAGTCTAATTCTTTCACCAGGTGGGGGAAGTTTTCTGTCACTATTTCTTTCAGTATGTTTTCGATATCTTGCTCTCTCTCATCTTCTGGGACCCCCATAATTCTGATGTTCGTTCGCTTGAAGTTGTCCCAGAGGTTTCTTACATTATCTTCAATTTTCTGGATTCTCTTGCCTTCTAGCTTCTGTGGAGGAGTGTCTTCTGGCTCTGTATGTTCCAAATCTTTGACTTGATTCTTGCGATCTTCCCTTCTGTTTTTAGGACTCTGTAAAATATTTTTTATTTCAGACAATGTATTCTTTATTTCTTGTTGTTCCCTTATCATTTCTTGATGACTCCTTATTAATTCTAGTTGATTTCTTTTCATATCCTCATAGGTCTTATCCATCTTTTCTAGGAAATTCTTGAAAAACCTTATAAGCGTAGATTTGAACTCTATATCCAGCCGCTTTTTGTCCTCCATTTCTTTCGTTTGTGATCTATTTCGTTGTCGCATTTCGCAGCTACAGATGGGGCGGGGTTTCAGGGTGGAGCCTACAGCCTTGGCTTCCGTCAGCCCTGCCCTATGCGGGTCCTTCAGTGCTCGCTGCCGGCGCCTCTGAGAGAAAGGCGCCCTCGATCGCCTGCTGCCAGACAGTCAATGCTCTCCCCAATGAGCCCGGTATTGGGGTTCAGTTCAGTTGGAAGTGGAGTTGGAGGTGGCGTTCAGAGCAGTCTGGAGCCCCTGTCTCCTTCTCACCAGGCAATCCCGCGGCACAGCTGGCCGTCCCTTCTCTGCGCACAATGTGTGCACCGCCGGGACCTCCTTTCGCAGCTTCCCCGGGTTCCGCCTCGCAGCCCAGCTCCCTCTGGCTGAGCCTGAGTCCCCGGGGTCTGGCCTAGGGTTGGGTTCAGAGTAGTCGGGGGGCCCAGCACAGTCAGAGTTTTATCTCCTTCCCGCTTGGGAAGGCCCGCCAGGCACTCCGCCTCCCTCCTCTCCAGCTCCGTCCTCTCCGCGCGCCGCGTGTCTCCGTACCTTCGGCTTTTCCAGCTCCTCCGCGCTTCCTTCTGGTTTTCTCTTGCTTCTCGTTGTAGAATTTCCAGTCAGTCAACTTTCCTGTAGTTCTGGGTAATGTCCGTTTTATATTTTAGTTGTATTTTATTGAAATTGTTGTGTGAGGCTGCAGCTAGGTATTCACCTGGGCGCAGCCATCTTGGAGGATCCGGAAATAATGCTCTCTTGTTTGCTTCTTGTTGTTTAAAAGCAGTGATTCTACTTCATTATCCACTTATGCCTTTTAAAAAACAAGTCTTTTTTTTTTAATTTTTGAGAAAAAGGAAGAGGGAGAGAGATAGAAACATTAATGATGAGAGGGAATCATTGATTGGCTGCATCCTACATGGCCCACAAGAGGATTGATCCTGAAACCCGGACATATGCAACCACTGAGCAAAGCTGGCCAGGCTAATTATGTCTTTTTGTTACAACTGATTGAATGGTGTATTGACAGATACAAAAGTTAACTAAATCCTTTGTAACTTAAAAAAATAATACCATGAAAAAATCCTTTTAATCATATGGTGGATTATAAAGTACTTTAACGTATTTTTCCTTTTAATATCTTTCAAGGTATTCAAAAACTGTTTAAAATAATTTGTTCTGGGTGGGGTTATTTTCCCCTTCTCATTTACAATAAAACAAGTTATTTAAATTCTTTAACTTATGCATTATTCTTTTAAAATATATATATATTTGTATTGATTTCAGAGAGGAAAGGAAAGGGAAAGATAGAAACATTAATGATGAGAGGTCAGCTGCCTCCTGCACTCCCCGCACTGGGGATGGAGCCTGTAACCCAAGCATGTGCTCTTGACTGGAATCAAACCCTGGACCTTTCACTCCATAGGCCGTTCTATCCACTGAGCCAGACCAGCCAGGGCATCTGTGCATTACTTTAAATTCAAGGTTTTAATAAGAACTACTTAATAAAATAATGGAAACCAAATCTACATAAGTAAATCATCCTATCCTTTTTTACTAGGTTATGTGCATGGCATATACAGGGGTCAGCTTATGCTGTGCAAATCAACGTGGAATTAGAATTCCTGGTTTCTAACTATTCAGTAGCTGTGTGGCTGCTGTGGGGGAGGAAAAGTTATTTTCCTTCTATCCTAAGTTCTTCTGGGCTGAACTAATAATCACATTAACATGAGACAAATTAACAGGAGAAAATGACCAAATTTATTATGTATGTATGTACATACCAATGTTCCAATAGACTGTGAGAGCTAGACAGGTTGAAGGTTTTTCCTGAGTCATTTTTAAGAATAACCAGCTTAAAATAATATCTAAAAAAGGTCACATTTTAGATTGGTAAAATCCTACTTCCTCTCACTGGGAAGAGCCTTTGATGCTGCAGAATCTTTAAAATGGGCGGCAACTGCAAGGCCTGCCTCCTGGAGTTGCTGTGAATAAGCTGGGACCTCACTCCAGTTCACAAGGCGGACGTGTGGGGAAGCCTGGGGACCGGAGAGCAGGTGGCAGGCCTCCTCTCCCACCGGCTAGGATGACTCTTGAGCTACATCCCTCCCTCCCATTCTCTCCAGACCATGGCGGACAGAGGACCTGGAAGGGTATATGAAGAACTTCAGGCCAACAGAGGCCCAGCCCTGCCACCTGCGGCTACTTTTCTCTCTCTAGGCCTCAGCTGCTCCAGGTGTAGGCTGAGCACGAAACAGTACTATCTAACAAAGTTATTCTTAAGATTAGAGCTATTCAAGCCGAGACCGGTTTGGCTCAATGGATAGAGCGTCAGCTTGGGGACTGAAGGGTCCCGGTTCGATTCCGGTCAAGGGCATGTACCTTGGTTGCGGGCATATCCCCAGTAGGGGGTGTGCAAGAGGCAGCTGATCGATGACTCTCTCTCATCGATGTTTCTAACTCTCTATCTCTCTCCCTTCCCCTCTGTACAAAATCAACAAAATATATTTAAAAAAAAAAGATTAGAGCTATTCAAGAGAGTTTAGCTATCATAGGAGAACATTTTGTTTCCTAACCCCTTTCCCTCCTAAGGAAACCCCTCCTAAGGCCTGTTTACCATAGCAATGCAGAGGCTTGCAGAAACCTCCTTTCAACCAGACTCCAGCAAGGAAAAACTAGTGTTATTTAAATCAACCCAGTCAGAGAAAGGGGTAACTGACCGGCGCCGGACCACCCACCGGTGTCTCGGAGGAAACATCTGCATTTTAAAAGAGGATTACCTGCCCGGGAGGATTTCAGAAACTTTGGAACTTTTTGGTAGGGCGGTGAATCAAATTCCTTCAACTCTTCCCCCCCCAGTGAAACCCTGCCTTGTTGGTTTAAAGCGGATTGTGGGAGGACTTTTAAAAAGCACCTTTAATTAATCAACTCGAACTACAGACCTAGTTCACCCCCCCCCCCCCTTTCCCACCCCCGCCTTTTGCACCAGCGGCTCCCGCGGTCACAGTGACCTTAGCTGCGCTAATCTGGGAAGGAATCCTCTCGCTGGAGAAGGGCGGCGGGGAAAGACCCGACGCTCAACGGAACTAACAGGATGTTTTCATTTGAATTAGCTCAGCCCAGTGGTTACCTCCCCGCGTTGCTCTGCTAACTTTCCAGCCTCCGGGAGGGGCGAGCTGCGGGAGGTCAGCCCGGGGCGGGACCGCGGCCGGGCCATCCTCACCATCACCCCGGGACCCCGGGACGGGGCGGCGGGCCGATCGCAGAGGAGCGGGCAGTTTCAGGGGAGCCGGGCACACGACCCCCAACCCAGCCCCACCCCTCGCAGCCACCGCACCGAGCTCCCCGGCTTCTGCTCCGCGGGGAGCGGCGGCGCGTCCCACCTGCGGCGGCGCGGGGCGCGGGGCGCGGGGCGCGGGGAGCGGCCGGAGCCGCCCCGGGAGGGCGGGGGCGGGGCGGGCCCGGGGGGCGGGGTCGCCGGGCGCCCGGAGGCCGGGCCGCGCCGGGAGGGAGCCGGCGGGCGGGCGGGCGGGCGGGCGGGGAGGGAGGCGGCCGAGGGGCCGGAGCGGCGGGCGCAGCGGCGGCAGGACGGCCCGCGGGCGGCTCGGGGCCGCGCGCCGAGAACCTCGCGGGGCGGCGGGCGCCGCACCCCCGGCCTGGCCGCCTGCGCCCCGGGGCGGCGGCCGGCGCGCGCCCGGGCCGGCAGCATGAGCAGCGGCTACAGCAGCCTGGAGGAGGACGCCGAGGACTTCTTCTTCACCGCCAGGACCTCCTTCTTCAAGAGGGCGCCCCCGGGCAAGCCCCGCGCCGGCCAGCCGGTGAGTGTGCTGCCCGGCCCGGCGACCCCCGGGGGAGGGGGATCCCCGGGACCCCGGACGCCACGTGTGTGCGCCGGGCGGGGATGCTCGCCGGGGGCCGCGGGGAAGCGGCTCCTGCCTTTTTGGGATCGCGGGGCGCTGGCTGGAGTGTGTGCTCCTGGGCGTGCGCCGGGGGCGCCCGGGGCCAGGGCGGGAGGAAGCGCGGGGAGGCCCGGCCGGCTCCTGCCTTCCGCGCCAGATGGCCTCCGCGCCCCGCCTCGGGCGGCCGCCGGCTGCGGGGGCGCCGGGCTGGGCGGGGGGCGCCCCCGGGCCGCTCCCGGAGTTCCCCCTGCGCCCCGGGCGCCCCCGCGGAGTCAGTGGCCAGGTCCTGGCGCCGGGCCTCCGGCTGGTCATCTCGGTGGCCCGCGGCCCCCGGAGCGGCTCGGGGGGGGGGGGCGGAGGAGTCGCTGGGGGGCGGGGAGGGGGGGTGGCAGGGTGACCCCGGGGCTCGGCCCCCCGCGCCTCCTCGGGTGGGGAGGGCGCGCGGAGAGGAGCGCGGGGCCCGACGGCAAAAGGCGCTCACGAAAAATCCTGGTGTTGCGGGTGTCAGAGTTGGGCATTTCCTGCAAAGTCAAGCTGTGGCTGCCTCTGTTTTGCAAACCAGCTCCGGTGATAGGTGAATACATGCCAGCGGGCCAGAGCCGAGCCCCGGGCCGGCTGCTTCCTTTTTTGGAGGCGGCGCGCCGTGGGAGCAGGACTGGGGGAGACGGTGCGGGAGCTGGGGCCAGCTTCGCCGGCCGAGGCCCGGCTTCTGCAGAGAGGCTTTCCCCTAACGGGGCATTGGGGGCTGGACTTCTCAGCGTGGCGCGGGAGCCTCCCGGTCCTGGAGCCAACTCCAGGAAGCCCTGCCAGCCCAGCCAGGCTCACACCAGATTAGAGAAGGCTGACATGGAACAAGCTGGTTGCTTTTAAAACGACAGGCGTGCACCAGACACGGCTATGCAGCTCAGTCCTGGAGACTAGACACAAGGACGAGAGGACCGAGTATAGTGCGCCAGGGTTTCCTCGGCCGGAGTTTTTTAAGGTTCTCCAACCACTTTCCGAGGACAGATTTCTTTTCTTTTCTTTTTCTTTCTTTCTTTTCTTCTTCTTCTTTTTTTTTAATGTCAAGAAGTGTTAGTCTTTTCAACCTCTTCACTCCCAAACCAGAAGAAAAGGGACCCCCCCTGAAGGGTAAGAGTGAGGTCATGTGCCCTTCCTTCCTTACTCAGCAGCAGGTGATCCTGAGCGAAGCCTGGCGCCGGAAGCCTCCCTCCCTTCCTTGTTTCTAAGGTTCAAGGCTGCACGGTTTGCTAGTCGCTTTGAGTGATGTCTGTTTGGGCTGCTGTAACCAATACTACGGACTAGGCACTTAAGTAAATATTTGCTTCTCACGGTTCTGAAGGCCTGGGTGCCTCCGCGGTTGGGTTCTCAGAGAGGACTCCTTCCTGGACTTCCTGGCTTGTAGACTAAGCTGATTCTTAGGGTCCCCTCACATGGAGAAAGGGCCCTCTCTCTTCCTCTTATGAGGACACTAATGCGGTGGTGGGGGCCACCCTCATGGCCTGAGTACCTCCCAAAGGCCCCCTCTCCAAATACGATCACATTAGGGCTCCACCATATGACAGTTGAGGGGCCGCACACATTCAGTCATAGCAGGTGATCTCTTGTTTTCAGTAGGGTATATTCTCATGGTGAGAGTTTGCTGTGAAGTTTTGAAATCAGAATTACCCTTCTTCCCCCTATTGGTTATGGAAGAATTGCATCTCCTTGTGCTTTTTTTTTCACCTTTTTTTCTTACTTTCTTGCCCTCTTCTTTCTTTTCATTCTCCACGTTGTATTTTCTCTGTCCACTTAAGTTGCTCTCACCATTTGACACTTGGACTAGAGCTTGTCAGAGATGGTGCTGGTTTCAAGTCCATTCCGGAGGGAGCTGGTACTCTCCAGAAAACTCGCTGGCTCTTGGGTTCTGCAGGTGGGAGATGCTCCTTCAGAAGGGCCAGAGTATGTAGGTTGGAATGGTGTGTGAAGATGCGTTGGTGCTTTAAAAGTAAAAATATCTTTCCCTGGCTGGTATGTCTGAGTTGGTTGTCCCGTGCACTGAATGCTCCCCGGTTTCCTTCCTGGTCAGGAAACTTTGGATTTTGAGCTTGAGTCCCAGAAGGGGGTGTGCACCAGGCAGCCAATCTATGTCTCTATCTTTCCCTCTTCTCATAAAATCAATAAAAACATATATATATATATATATTTTTAAAAAAACCTATTTTTTCTGGACTTATAAGTCCGATATAATATTTGTGTTACACTCATTAATTTATGTAATATTTCCCTAGCAAATATGTTATATTCATGTAATGTTACTTATATAGCATTTAGAATTAGTCCATCAATACGTGTATTTTGCTGAAAATCAGGACAGTAAGACCTAATTCTTTGCTTGAGGTGTTTAATATGCATATTCTGAAGCTATATTGCTTGTGTATTTCATTTCCCCTTTTAACAATAACACATGCAATGTGTGCTGAGTTATAGGACTTATTTGCCAGCTGTAGAAAATGTTCTAAACTCTGAATTTTAGTATGTACTTTAGTTTAAAGAATTGGTTGTCTGTTAAATTCTTGATAAGATCTGGAAGTATGGAAGTAAACTTTATAAAGCAAGGCACTCAATATAGAACATTTATTTTTTTTTTACCTAAGGTTAGCTAAGCCTTTTTCATTTTAGCTAACTTGGAATTACAGGAATAAGGTAAGTATTCTGACCAAGCGTATAGGGAAATTTTTTCTTTTCTCTAGAGAGCTGGAAAGAGAGATGGTTGCTATAGGAATCTATTGTCAATAATAATGATTTTTTTTTTTTTTTTTGGTGCTGAATCACCTGGTATAAAAAGCCATAACATGTAGTTTTAGAATTCCTGAAAATATCCAGAGAAAGCAAGATGTTTGTGGTAAATGCAGGATGGGGAGGAGGGGGAGAGGGGGCGAAATGTCTTTTCTTGCCAGGCAAAGGAACATAGCCCACTTTTTTTTTTTTTTTGTCTCCAACATAACAAATTTTACAGATATAAAGCAACTGCTTACCATTTTATGTTGGTACCACCCTTTTTTGTTGTTGTTAATGGAAAAGGATTAAAAACCAGTAGGAAGGATGTAAAGGGAATGAACGTATAACCTGTTTGTGGCAGTTTGAATGCCACATTTATTACTGTATTCACAGAGTCCCAGTCAGTACCTGACACACAGTGGTTGGTCATTGAATGCAGTATTAGTTGAATGAATGAGTGCTTTTCCGGTTTGATAATAATGGGCTCTTCCAAGGGTTTAAAGATCCTATCTTAAGATTCTCCCAAGGATCCTCTGGAGCCGGCGAACTGTGGCTTGAGAGCCCCATGCGGCTCTTTGGTCCCTTGAGGGTGGCTCTTCCACAAAATACCATGGCCTGGGCGAGTCTATTTTGAAGAAGTGGCATTAGAAGAAGTTTAAGTTTAAAAAATTGGGCTCTTAAAAGAAATTTCAATCATTGTACTGCTGATATTTGGCTCTGTTGACTAATGAGTTTGCGGACCACTGTTTTACAACTTCAAAAGTTTTTTTTGGCTATACTAACTTTAATCCTTAGATTGTAATAAATTTTTTTTCATTTGTAATTTTGCTTATTTGGGTCCTCTCTTGTTTTTTTTAAAATATATTTTATTGATTTTTTTATAGAGAGGAAGGGAGAGGGATAGAGAGTTAGAAACCGATAAGAGAGAGTCATCGATAAGCTGCCTCTTGCACACCCCTTACTGGGGATGTGCCCGCAACCAAAGTACATGCCCTTGACCCAAATCGAACCCGGGACCCTTCAGTCCGCAGGCCGACGCTCTATCCACTGAGCCAAACCGGTTTTGGCCTCTCTTTGTTTTTTTGATGAATCTAGTTAAAGGTTTATCACTTTTGTTTGTCTTTTCAAAGAACCAGCTTTTGGTTTCATCGGTCATTTGTATTCTTTTTTAGGCTCTGTTTTATTTTCACTCTGGTCTTTATTTCCTTTCTTATACTCATTTAGGCTTTATTTGTTCTTTTGTCTAGTTCCTTTAGGTTTTAGGATAGATGGTTTATTTGAGATTTTTTGTTTGGTTTCTTGAGGTAGGCTATGATTTTTTCTCTTGGAACTGCTTTGGCTGTTGTGTTTTCATTTTTATTTGTCTCAAGGTATGTTTTTATTGCTTTCTTGATCTCGTTGTTAATCTCTTGATTTTATAGTAGCACATTATTTAGCCTCCATGTGTATGTGCTTTTCAGGTTTTTTTCCTTGGAATTGATTTCTAGTTTTATACCATTGTGATTGGAGAATATGCTTGATATGATTTCAGTCCTCTTTAAATTTGTTAGATTTGTTTTGTGGCCTAACATGTGGTCTCTTCTGGAAAATGTTCCATGTGTGGTTAAGAAGAATGTATATTCTGCTACTTTGGAGTGAAATGTTCTAAAAATAGAAATGAAATCTGATCTAATGTGTCATTTAAGGCCACTGTCTCCCTGTTGATTTTCTGTCTGGATCATCTGCCTATTGATGTCAGTGGGGTGTTAAAAGTTCCCTACCAAGACTATTACTACCGATCTCTCCCTTTTGGTCCGTCAGCATTTGGTTTATATATTAGATAATCCTATGTTGGGTTCATAAATGTTATAGCCTCTTGTTGGGCTGATCCCTTTATCATTATAAAATGTCATTCTTTGTCTCTTGTTAAATATAGTCTTTGTTGTTGTTTGTTTTTTAAGTATATTTTTATTGATTTCAGAAAGGAAGGGAGAAGGGGAGAGAGAGAAACATCAATGATGAGAGAGAATCATTGACCAACTGCCTCTGGTATGCCCCATACAGGGACCCAGCACACAACCCGGGCATATGCCTTTGACCGGAATCAAACCCGGGACCTCCTGATTTATAGGTCAAAGCTCAACCACCAACCCATGCTGGCTGGGCTAGCCTTTGTTTTA